CAGGTATGCTATTAACTCGTTGAAGTCACCGTTGTTGTCGCCACCTCTTGATGAAGATCCACTCCCAGATTCTTCTTGACATTGAGTCGCTGTCATCGTCTTCTTCTGCTTATTCAACCCGAAAACATTCAAGAATGAATGCGGATTGTCGTCTCGTTGTTGCGGTTGTTCTACACGATGTGTGTTTCTAAACCTACTTTCATAAGAGCTATAGAGAGATAATACTTTTTCCTTTATAATAAGAAATTGGTCAGAACAATCGATATCTAAAAAGTCACCTAAGTTTTCTAATCCACTTTCTAAACCTAATAATTTTGATCTAGGGTTAAAAATAACACCGAAACCATATAATATTGGTAATTTAAACCAATATTTTTTAAACTTCTTTTCCATTGAAGCAATAGGAACTCCTGAAACCTCGTGTGTCCTAAATTCACTAAATAAAATAGTCATTCTTAAAATTTATCCTAACGCTAATGGTGACGTTGGGTAATAAGTTCCACTAAGCTTTAAAGTAACTTCGTGAAATCTACCTAAAAAGTTATACAAGAGTTCGGCAATTTGCCAATCAGTTTCGTCTATAAAACTTTGTCCTAATTTTGCACTAACATAGTTAGGTATAGCATCTCTATAAAGGATGCATTGTTCAAGCATTATGTAAGTGGAGTTCCATCTTGCGGGCATATCTAAAGCTAATGCTCTAGGATTTTGATTACATACTCGTAGAAACCTAAACCAATCTTGTATTCTTTGATTACTACCTTGAATTCAGCAATGTTATCTCTATTGCTTAAATCATTTGCAAAAATTTATAGCATCTTTATAGGGCATGCACAACGTTGGTGAAATATATCATTATTATCGAATAAACTTAAATCATTTTCAAAAAGTTCAATTGCTTTAGTATTTACAGTAGCATTATCTAATGTTATGGCCATTACTCTATCCCTTAAACTATATTCATCAATGACAGATAAAATTGTATTATATATTAGAACTTGCAACACTTGCACTAGCACTTCCGCTTGCCTCTCTTCCACGCCAACCACCATTACGTCCACGACCTCTAGTACGCCCACCAGGGCTCAGATTTGCAGTTTTCTCAGCAGCTCTTTCTGTTGTTTGCAATTCCTGCGTTTGAAAAACATTAGTAGGAAATTGCCCTTCTTCGATGTTGAATTGGGCATCAATGGGAATATCACCACCATAACTAGAAGATGCCAGTATGAAAAATAAGAGAGATTGAGAGCGCTTTGAGAGAGATTAAGAGAGATCGAGAGAGATTTAAGCGAGATTAAGAGAAATTTGAGAGAGATTAAGAGAGATTGAGAGAAATTAAGAGATGATGAGAGTTTTTGGGTGAGAAAAATGGTTGCGGGAGGGGGTATTTATAGGAAATTTTTTGGCTTGAAAAAAAAAAATTTTCCCTCAGGAATTCAGGCGGTCGGGTCGGGTTCGGGCAAATTCGGGCAACGGTAATAAAAATAGCCATTGGGATTCAAAATTCGGGGCGGCGGTCGGGTCGGACAAAAAAGAGCCGTTGGGTTAAAAATTCGGGCTAACGGTCAAAAAAATTCAGGCAAATTAAGGTTATGCAGGAAAATTCAAAAAAAAAAAAAACCCGGCGAACGGCGATCTCAACTTCTGCACCGGCGGTAGGCTACCGAGAATGGATTTTCCTCGGACTGCCCGAGCCCAGCCAAAATGGTCGGACGGGCGGCAAATGATGCCTGGCCGCCGAGCCTAAAATTTTTTTAGCATCGGGCAAGCCCACCGCCCGAACTTTCAGCACTGCGCATGAGTCTAATGATCATGAAACGCTCCATTCTGGAAGCGTTTCGGGGCTTTATTACTCAGAGTACTAATGCCGAGAAGTTCCTCAAAGAAATTGAACAATATTTTGCCAAGAATGAAAAGGTAGAAATGAGTAATTTTTTGGCAAAACTCATTTCCAAAGCACTAAAGTTAGAGCTATCTAAGGATTTGCTCGTGCACTTGGTTTTCATTTCTCTTCCTGCACAATACGGTCAATTTAAAGTGAGCTATAACACCCAAAAGGACAAATGGACTCTTAATGAGCTCATTTCACATTGTGTGCAAGAAGAGGAAAGACTTCAACAAGATAAGACTGAAAGTGCTCACTTGGCATCAACCTCTCAGAATAAAAGAAATAAGAGAGATAAGGATACTGTAAATGGAACACCCAAGCAAAAAAAGGTAAAGAAGAAGGATGAGGAATTTACCAGTTATTTCTGCAAGAAGGGAGGACACATGAAGAATGAGTGTTCCAAATACGCCACTTGGCGTGAAAAGAAAGGAAAGACTCTCATTATAGTTTGTTCTGAAGTTAAGTTAGCTTATGTACCTAAAGATACTTGGTGGGTAGATTTTGGTGCTATTGCACACATAAGTATGTCTATGTAGGGTTGTCTGTGGAGCCGACCACTAAATGATGCTGAAAGATTCATCTTTGTGGGCGATGGCAAGAAAGTTCCAGTAGAAGCTATCGGAAACTTTAGATTATTATTAAAGATTGGTGTCTATTTGGATTTGATTGAGACTTTTGTTGCAACGTCATTTAGACGGAATTTAATTTCTATTTCTAGTTTGGACAAATCCAGTTATTCTTATTCTTTCAGAAATAATAAAGTTAGTCTTTTTCATAATTCAAATGTTATTGGTACTGGTTCTTTAATTGATAATCTTTATATGTTTGATATTGTTACTTTTAATGATGAAATTTTACACACTAGTGCACGAGGTACAAAGTGAAAATTAAATGAGAATTCTATCACCCTATGGCACAAGCGTTTAGGTCATATCTCTAAACAGAGAATTCAGAGGCTTGTGAATGATGGAATTCTTGGTCCCCTATATTTGACAGATTTTCAGGTTTGTGTTGAATGCATTAAGGAGAAATAGACAAACATAAGGAAATTAGGCACCGACAGAGCTAAAGATGTCTTAGAACTTATTCACACTGATATTTGTGGACCATTCCGTACAGCTTCTTGGAATGGTCAACAATACTTTATTACATTCATAGACGATTATTTAAGATTCGGCTACCTATACTTAATACATGAGAAGTCATAGTCAGTGGACGTTTTTAAGGAATTTAAGGCCGAAGTTGAACTTCAACTAGGCAAGAAAATTAAGGCAGTCAAATCTGATTGTGGTGGTGAGTACTACGATAGATATGATGGATCAGGAGAACAACGTCCAGGACCCTTCGCTATCTTCCTAAAGGAATGCGGAATCGTCCCACAATACACAATGCCAGGTAAGCCTAGCATGAATGGTGTTGCTGAGAGACGAAATAGAACTCTTGAAGACATGGTGAGAAGCATGATTAGTCATTCTTCTTGAATCGCTTTGGGGAGAAGCATTAAATACTGCAGTTTATATCCTTAACAGGGTTCCAAGCAAAGCAGTAACCAAACCTCCTTATGAATTATGGACATGAAAAAGACCTAGCATTAGGCACTTACATGTTTGGGGTTGTCCAGCTGAAGCAAGGGCTTAGAAGCCAAATGAAAAGAAACTGGACTCAAGAACGGTTAGTTGTTATTTTGTTAGATACACTGAACGCTCTCGGGGCTTCAAGTTTTACAATCCCACCACTAGGTCCTTCTTTGAGACGAGAAATGTGAGATTCCTTGAGGATATTGAGTTTGAGGGGAAGATAAAATAAGGAATGTTGTCTTTGAGGAAGAGGATTTTGTTTCTCTTCCGAATATTGCTATTGGCAATGACCAGGCTGTTATTCCTGCCATTGTCCAAGATGCAACTCCAGTACAAAATAACAATGATCAGACTCTTGTTCCTAACATTGTTCCAAAACAAGACAACAATAAGGTTCCCCTTACGGCACCTATAGAGCAAACTCAACAACCTCAAGAAGTGCTATTAAGGAGATCCACTAGAGAAAAGAGAAGTGCGATTCCAGATGAATATATCGTATTTCTCCAAGAACATGAAGATGGTGTAGGCTTAGGGGAAGATGATCCTATCAACTTCCAACAAGCTTTACAAAGTTCTAATGCTCGAAAGTGGATTGATGCCATGAAGGATGTGATGAAATCTATGAAAGACAATGAAGTTTGAGATCTTGTCGAGTTGCCTAAAGGAACGAAACCTATAGGTTGTAAATGGATATTTAAGACCAAAAGGCATTTGAAAGGTAAAATCGAAAGATATAAGGCTCGTCTAGTCACCAAAGGATTCATTCAGAATAAAGGCATAAACTACAAAGAAACTTTCTCTCCGGTCTCTTCGAAAGACTCTTTTAGGACAGTTATGGCACTTGTGGCTCATTTAGACTTAGAGCTACATCAGATGGATGTTAAGACAACGTTTCTTAATGGCAACATTGATGAGATGATTTATATGGTCCAGCCAGAAAACTTTGTATCTGAAGATTCAAAGTCTATGCTCTGCAAGTTAAATAAGTCCATCTATGGTCTCAAACAGGCTTCCTGTCAATGGCACAAGTTTCATCGAGTTATCACCTCTTATGGTTTTGAGGTGAATGTGGTCGATGATTGTGTATATCACATGTTCAGTAGGAGTAAATTCATCTTCCTGATTTTATATGTCGAAGACATATTACTTGCCAGCAGCGATATAGGCTTATTGCACGAAACTAAGAAATTTCTCACTAAGAATTTTGAGATGAAGGATTTTGATGACGCCTCTTTTGTATTAGGAATACAGATATTACGAGATCGCTCTCGAGGTATCCTTGGGTTATCACAAAAGGGCTATATCAAAAAGGTTCTCGACAAATTTAGCATGAAGAATTGTACATCAAGAGATACGCCCGTAACTAGAGGAGACAAGTTTAGTCTCAGTCAGTGCCCTAAGAATGAACTTGAGATAAAGGAAATGGAAAAGATTCTTTATGCATCAGCAATAGGAAGTCTAATGTATGCTCAAGCTTGTACTCGTCCCGACATAGCATTTATAGTGGGAGTATTGGGCAGATACTTAAGTAACCCATGAGTGGATCATTAGAAAGCAGCCAAACGGGTTATGCGTTATTTAAAGAGAACAAAGGATTACATGCTCACCTATCAGAGATCAGACAGTTTAGAGATCATCAGGTATATTGATTCTGATTTTATTGGATGCTAAGACAGTAAGCAATCCACGTCAGGCTATATTTACATGTTGACAGGAGGAGCTATTTCTTAGAAGAGTGCCAAGCAAACACGTATAGCTTCTTCTACCATGGCTGTAGGGTTCATAGCCTATTATGATGCATCTAATCATGGGATGTGGCTACGAAACTTTGTCACAAGGCTACGTGTGGTTAGTGGTATTGAAAGGCCATTAAAGATATTATGTGACAACAAATCGGCAGTGTTGTATTCCAATAACAACAGAAGCTCTATGAAATCAAAGCATATTGATATCAAGTTTCTGGTTGTTAAAGAAAGAGTTTAGAATGGTCAGATTTTGATAGAACACATAGGGACAAACTCCATGCTTGCAGATCCACTAACCAAGGGCTTAACACCCAAGGCCTTTCACGAGCACACTGCTCATATGGGTGTTATTTTGTTTGAGGATACTATGGTTTAGTGGGAGTTGATTTTGGATGCTCTATGACATAAACATTTATTTGTTTATTTTCTGCATAATAAAGAAGATGGATTTACAGTTTTTTTTATAGTTTTTTCCCTCTGAATATGTTAATTTTCTGTTTATAATTTTGCATTACGTTTTGAAAATTACAGATTGATCTCATAAAGAATAAAGCAGGACCAGTTAGAAATAGGCATGTTGGAGATCACATGGCATGTAATTTCCATGCCACTCATCCATACTCGATTTATGTCATTGAATATGTTTGTATAGTGACCATGAAAGGTTTAGTTGCATTTTGAAAGTGACAAAAGCTGCCATGATCCCATGATAATATAAGAGATGGACCAAATTGTACCATAAGTGAAAACTAAGGATAAATAGCATACAGTTGCGTGCCTAAAGAATAATCTATGATATAATTGTGTCAAGAATCATATGTAGCTCAAGTGGGAGATTGTTAGGAAATTATATTTCCTAATAATAATTATGGGCCACATATTTATAACAATTATATTAACGATATTTAATTAATTGGGCTAATTAAGTGGTCTAATTGTGAAGAGCTCAATAGTCTCCTAATTGGGTATGGATTAAATGAGTGGATACCCAATATTGACTCAATTAGGTTTAATGGGAGCCTAATGGAGGACAGTATATAAAGAAACTTAGGTTATGGTTCCCAATACGTTAAATCATTTAGCTGTTTTCCTTCTTCCTCATCTAGAGAGAAAATACCCCATTCAAGAATCTGGTGATTTGACTGAGGAAGACAATAACTTGACGTGCTCGTTGTCTTAAAAAATTCTACTGGAGATTAAGGCTGCACCAACTGAGATAAGTATTTATTCTAACTTATATTTTTAATAATTTAATGTGATGATTCTTGAAATGTGGAATAAAAATTTAAAGCTTCAACAAAAAGCACGCCAACGTTGATAACAACTCAGCAACCTCCAACTGAGGAGGAGCTCCAAAAGTGGGATGATGTTTTCGTGAAGAATTTAGGCCAAGACATTCTTGTCCCTATGCTGAAGGCCGCTAATTACCTTGATTGTGCCAGACTGACGGATTTGTTGATTAAAAAAGTGGCGGCTGCTATGAAGGACAAGACGGTTGAGCAACTTTATCAGTTTTGGGGCGTGGAAAGTGATTTTACTCCCGAGGAAGAGGAGGAGAATCACAGAAGATATGGTTGGATTTACGATTAAACCCAATGATTTCATCCTTATCTATTCTATGTATTTGTTTCCGGTTTTTTTTTTTATTTTTAATAAAGTGATATTAGACTTTTTGAAGCGTTACTGAAGCTAAACTTAATTTTTTTTTGTTTTGTTTTTTTCCTCTTTCCCTTTTTCTTCAATTTGTGTCTAATAATATACAAGTCAATTCCTCTTTTAAGCCTGGTGTAACATATCATGTCAAGGTTTAGCCATTATTCGTCAACGCTCTAAATGTGGACCGATGATCTTACATCTGTTAATTGATTGATTCTGTTAACTTGCCAAAAATTATATATATATATATATATATATATATATATATATTACACACACACACAAAGTCAAACAAAAAAAAAACACAAGTTATGTTAAGGCGACATATACAAATAAATAAGTAATGATCCTTCCTTTTCAAGAAAAAAGAAAAAAAAAAAGAATGACCCTTCGTGTCTTTTCAAATGGACCAGGATTCTAGTTATCGTTAAAAAACTGTTTTGAATGTTTTACAAATTTTCAGTGTTTTTTTTTTTTTTTGAACGGAAAAGAAATTCAAGATTTATTCTCCTACGTATAATATGCATCGACGTAATACATGTTAATGGTTGGAATGACAATGATTAATAATGGACAAGACGAATCTAGTATCTAGGGCGGGGAAAGAGAAAGGAAACCATGGTCCATGAGAGTGGTGGGAGAACACCTTTTTTCTTTTCTTTCCATATATTGGACATGGTTTTCAATCTCTGCAAGTTGGGGAAAGTAGAAAACGATGCTAGCTAGTGTGATATATATCATCCATCAGCATCCTCCCAGACCAAGTCCGTATGCAATGTACCATCTCAAAGCAATCACCAATCAGCTCCTCTGCATCATGTTATATTTTCTCAAAATTATATTTCTGAATTTCAATTCATATCGAATTTGTACATTTTCTAGGTCGACAACTGGTTTTGGCCCTTAATTGCCGAATTTACCATGGTAGCATACTGTAGCTTCCAACCAAAGACTAAAGGGCCGTCTAAAAGCCGTTTTTGAACGTGTTTGAATAAATAATTTTTAAAGTACTTTTAATTTTTTTAAACACTTTTAAAACAAGTTATCTTCTTAGTGTTTATGAAAAAAAATGCTTATGAAAATCTTTTTATTTACATTTTAAACCTTTTATTTGTAAACAACAAATTAAATATCTCATTCGTATCCTTATATTAAATTACTTTTTAATGAAAAGTGTTTTTAACTTTTTTACCCAAATAAGTTCAAAAGCTCTTCTTAGATATACAAGCATCTTTTCAAACACTATCTAAACACTAATAAAAAAGCCTCAAGCACTTCTTAAAAGCACAAACACAAGTCATCCAAACGGGCCCTAAAAATCCATTTAGTTTATGAATTCAAACCATAATTCATGATTTTAACTTTTGAAATTCAAATTTTTTTTAGAGGAAAACATTGTAGTAGAACTCATGCAGAACTCTTAAAACAAACACACACTAGTTGATAAATTAACCCTTGATAACTTGACTTGAAAATACAATTTGTTCACTTTCTCCTTTATTTTTTTAATCATAATGCCTAATTTGTTTTAGTTACAAGTTTATCTATATACTGCAAAGGGAATTCCCCAATTCAAATGTCAAAATCAGTTGTTTGCCAAAAAAAAAAAAAAAAAAAAAAGAATCGAATTTCACATGAATTTGAAATTTGAAAATAAAATATCGTGAGAGCATCCAAAATAAATGGTACATATATTTTATAAGCTCAAAATGTAAGCTATAAAATAGAAAAATAAGTTAAATAACTAAGGAAGAAAAATGAAATATCATAAAAATATTATATAAGGAGATTAACAAATCAAAATTGGAAAGTGTTAGATTTATTACTGTGGGTTTGAGATAATTACATGTTAGCGGTGTTGTATGGTATTAGCAAAGCTAAGGAAGCTACTCCTGGAGAAGTTTTCTCTTACACTACAAAACTTAGCAGGCAAGAGCCTTTCGTCAAATCATCCACCCAAAACTCTCAACCTGCAATTCACGAAGTTCCACCATTAATAATGTCATCTCAGCTAGATCAGGTCATTGATTTTACTACTACTCTCAATCATGATAATTAGAACAGCACTTTACAGTAGCCAAACCCATACCAGACTGATTAATGAGATCTTTTTATGGGAATCAGTTGTAAAAAGAAAGATGCTCATCTAGACCCGTTTGACCACAATTATTTTTAAAGGGATTATTATCACCATTTCTGACTGAATTTTAGGGTTATTCTCAGTTTAGTCCTTTCCTTTTGAATTTTAAAAACTGTCATTTTATCCTCTGAATTTTGATTGTTCCCACTTAATTTATTCTGTTGGAATTTCTGTTAAAAACAGATAAACAAAAAGAGTGTAATGCTATCACATGCTTTTTCTGTTTAAATATCTAGTAAAAATAAATTGATAAAAACTATATGATCACACTTAACTCTTTTTTTCTCAATTTGATTTTAAAAGAAATTCTTACAAAATGACTTAATGGGATTAATTCAAAATTCATAAGATAAAGTGAGATTTTTAAAGTTTATGAGACAAATTGAGAATGACCCTAAGCATCAGGATAATAATCATTTTAAAGAAAAAAATGGACATCTTAAGGGAAAGAACTTAATGTGTCACGATGACAGTATAATGTTCTCGAGTTTGAAGGCTTGCTGTGAGAACCTATCAATCATTTATGTCGCTCAAATCAAAACAGAGCCACATGCAATCCTATCTATGTTGCTCAAATCAAAACAAAACCGCACAAAATAAGAGCAAATTAGGTCGCACGCACCAAATGGGGCAATTTCGGCAGACCCATCTACCATACTACCCTGTTTAGTGTTGTCCCTCTTTCAAAACCACGTAATTATTATGAAGAGATACAAGATATAGGAGCCCACCTGATTGATGATTTTCAGGATTCTCAGGTTCCCTACTAGTACTCGGCTTGCTGGTACTCGGGTGGACCATTGCTTGGTTCTGTGAATCGTAAACAAAAAGAAACAGACCTCATAAATGCCAATTACTGTTGCTCCTTCGGATAATGATGGTGAAGTGGGTTCAGGTCCCAATAAGAAAAAGATTAACTTCCACAAAATCATTTCACTCGGTAAAACATTATAACTGTGAACAAATTCAATCCTGGTGGTGGACCACATAGTTACACACAAGATATCTTGCATAAAGAAAAACGTCCCAAGTTATTATATCAAGTGACAAGTAACTAGTGAGAGTTTAAAGTTACCTGCTGCAGTACTGGCAACTGCATCTGGTGGGAACCAAGATACTGCTGATAAGGATCGGAAAAATTAGGGATCCGTGACGGGTTAGGGTTTTGTGCGGCGAATGACTGAAACATATGATCTGACTGGCTGGTTGCTTGAGCTCTCGATTGCTCGGTCGTAGGAACAGGAGGCATGTGAAAGGCTGGCATAGGAAACCTGGGACCCAAGTGAGCTGCTGCTGCAGGTGTTGGCAAGGCTGAACCGGTTAACACATTTGGAAACGGCATAATCGGTCGGTTCATGCCCATTTCCATTCCCATGCCCATTCCCATCCCAATTCCCATTCCCATTGGTGGCATATACTGTTGGATTCCGGGAAACATCATAGGGACCATTCCACATCCCATAGACATCATCTGCACCAATTGATCACAATCTAGTTTTTATGCTTAGCATTTATATTTGTATACTTTCCAGCATAAAATTTTTATTTGTTTGGCTTTGCTTTTTCCTTTGAAAAACTGTGGGGCTTACTGAAATACTTCTCATTATGCACACCATTCGTCGAGCACCTTCTCTAAGAACTTATACATAAACTAAATCAAATTTTCTGTCACTAAGCCATGCACAAATAATTCCCGAAAATAAGAGTGGAGTGTGTACCTGCACTTGCAACTGAAGCGATTTCAAGTATTCTATTGCCTCATCCAGCATCGAAGCTTTGTCAGACTGAAATCGTTAAAAAAGAGCAAGAATTTCATAAGACCAAATAAAAGACAGAGAGGGCATCTAATCTAATCCCAAAAAAAAATACAAATCATGGTTATATACGTTTGGCAAACCTTGTTACAACGAGGTATCAGTTCTTGCAAAGCCTTCATCTTTTCATTTATCCTATCTCGACGTCTCTGCACGAGAATGCAATACTCCACCGTTAAAAGGAAAAGCAATCTTTAAACAGAGCTTACAAGGTTGCCCACAAACTTAGAATCCTGGTAGAGTACGGACCCTTTCGGAGAGATTGTGCACCTCCGCAGCTCGCGACCTTTTTGTTGATGTTGTCCCACGTACTTGTTTCTTTGTATCACCAGATTCAAATTCAACATCCTTGTACAATTAAGGGGGGAGAAAAAGCGATTCAAACAGAGTTTAATTAAAGGGCAATTAAAAAAAAAAAAGAGAGAAATACCAGGACCATAAAAGTAACCCTTTATCACAAACAATAACAATAGTACAAAAACCAATATATGCTACTTAATGCCTTGTCGACCAATGTTTTCCAGCTTCTTGAAGTTAACCACTCAAACCGTTATACAACTACCTAAGTAATTGACATGCATAGGCAGCAACATTCTTCTCCATGGACCCTTGCCTATTTCCTAATGCACCAATGCGAGAAACATAAGCACATGACTTCCATGCCTCCCTCAAATATACTTAATGCATCCAAAAATCTGCACCTTCTAATATACCGGTGATCAAATGAGTCAATTCATCCGAAGCCACTGTCAGTCATCTCGCACTCAGAATTTAAAGCATCTGGGTCAGATCCAACCACTCTCTATCCAAGTTTTTTTACTTTTCGTTTTCCTTTTACTCCATTACTTCCTCTTTGTACATTACATAAGGCTACATCAATGAAATCTAACTTCTTTTATTTCCTTGTTTAATTACCTAGACAAGAGGAAGCTGAGCTACCTAAGAACTTCCCACCCCGTCATGTCACATAATATATCATATAATTCATGCACGCGTTATAGCATCTATATAAAATAGTCAAGTTTACTCTCACGTATATATTATTTCTATGCGTAGCACGTTCCATTAATTACTGACAATCATCAAATCACTAAAAAGAAGAATGGAAAAAAAAAAAAAAAAGAAAAGGAAAGACCACCAAGATAAAGCACCTATTTTCCTCCCATTTAATTATTTTTAATTTCAAGCTTTAATTGAAATCCAACAACCCATTCCATCTAAATTAACAATCATATTTTACTTAAAACTCCCAAAATCCAAAGAAAAAGGAAAAGGAAAATACGCCATAAACCACTAAAAAAAGAAAAAATAAATACTGAAAGGAGACGAGGAAAGCGGTAGTCCCGTAAAACGCGCCGTCAATCCCATAACTGAAAAAATCATTCGGAGTTTGAATATTGTACATCAGGAGCTACTGCAATTTATGTCATCCGCCAATCACCACCCATTAAATTCTCTCCCCTTACCACACGAGCCTCACCCACCAAACAAGTGGCAAATATGACGTCATCCAGAAGTGCCACGTATAAGGACGAAGATCAGAGGCCACTGGAGCGGCCAATACGCAAACGGCCAGGTGCCAACACGCACCGAAAGTTAAGAAAGGCAAAGAGAGTAGTGAGGAGTGCGCACGCTTACCGACGCCTCCCCTTGCGCACATTAGCCGAGGACCGCAGGCAGACAAACAACACATCGGGAAAGACACGGAAGATAGAGAGAGACAGAGAGATCGGAATTCAGAACTCGGTATTGGACTCACTTACCTCGCTTTGACACTCGGCGTCGTCGGCTTCTATTCCCTTCCGCTTCCGATCTTCCGCCGGCAACTTCGCCGGCGGCGGTGGAGGCTCGGCACTGGCGCTCGAGTCTCCTGGCGACGAAGTCATTGTGCCTTCGCACCGCATCGCCTCCTTCCCCGAGAATCCCCCTCCGGACGCTAAATTAGCGTAGGATGTCTCGCCGGGGCTCCTCCCGATTTCGCAAACCCTAGAACTCGGACCGACCGCCGGCGTCTCGCACGAGTCCACCACGGTCACCGCTGCGCTCTTCGAACAGGAAGGTCCCGCGGCTTCAACCATAGCCTTGTTGTGCCTCGAGAAGTGACCGAAATTCTTGACGTTGGGCTCCGTCCTCGCAGGAGGTATAGGCGGCCGTGGCACCGGCGCGGCCGCAACAGTCGCCGGAGTCCTGATTTCCGGGATATGAGCATGACGAATTTGAGGCGCCGAGTTGATGGCTGTGCCGGCAGCGGCAGCGGTGGTGGCCGTGGCGGTGGTGACGCTTGGCGCAGGGTAGAGTAAGTCAGCGGAGAAGTTGTGGTCCAAGGAAGGGTCGTCGACGAGAGGATAGTGAAGCCACGAGGCCATTTCATCTTCCTGCATAAAGAGGTGTTGCTGTTGCTGTTGGTGGTGGTGATGATGTTCGTGGACTTGCTGCGCTTGGGACGGCCTGATCTCCATGTCGGCGGGGATTACGGCGTCGTATTTGGACGGCGGCGACGATTTCATAACCGACCTTTGATTCTGGCTCTGCACTATGACCTGTCCGTTTTGCCATAGCAGCTCCATAATATCGTCCTCTGGCCTGTTTCATCAGTTTTCGCTTTTCGGATCACTACTTTGGAATCCAAAAAAAAAATTACAGAGAAGAAGAAGTCAATTCAAAGTAAAACAAAAAAACTCACATGAAGGATTTTTTGGGGCGACCGACTCCAGAAGATGTAGAAATTGAATAATCGTCCTCCATTTCGAAATCGGGGACGCAGTGATTCATCGTCTTCGATCAATTAACAACTTCAAAGCACCTAAAATCATTTCCACAAAATTATATAACCATAACAAGTTCGAACGAGATAACGAATTGTTTAAAGTTCGATTTTTTTTTTCACTTTTGAAACTCACCGTATATTGAATGAACCGACGATAATATTGTCGCCGTCCTCTATGCCAAGACAACACATAGAAGTACTTTTTTCTATCACAACGAGCAGAAAGATTTGAAGAGCTGAAATCAATCCCTGTATGGATTGAATCGCTTCTCTTATTCTTCTTTTCCTTCTTCTTCTTCTTCTTCTTCTTCTTCTTCTTCTGTTTGAAATCGTTTCAATCTCTTTCTGGAAAATTCGTCAGGCGTTTATTCTCTGGAGGTGTCTAGGTGTTTTCTTTGGGAAAGAGGGGATGAGGTTTGATTGGGAAACGGGAAAAGAAAAGAAAAGAAAAGAAAAGAGAGAAAATACGGTTTTGAGAGAGATTTTTTTCTGTTGGCCTTGGCAGTTTGCGTTCCTCCTCTTAGCCTTTTGTGTTAATGTCGCCTGCGGCAGTCCAAAGATAAGGCTCTTTCTTTCTCTCCCTCTCTTTGTTTCTCTCTCCGAATAGAATGAGAGAAAAAGACGAAGAGAGTTTTGACGGTATGTAAGGTGCCATAGTATTCTCCATTTCCCGAGTCCATACTTTGGTTTGCCATAACTACGTTCAACTAACTCTAAGCTTTCGCGTTAATGACGTGTTTTATTTAACCCAAAATATAAAAATAAAATTTAAAAAAAAAAAAGGCCAAATCCTTTTTTAGGGGAAAGGCGAATATTTTCTTGATCCATGTTGGTAGAAATGAAAAAGAAAGAGGCCAAATCTCCTCCCATGTTCCTGGCATAGTGATGACAATTACTACCGATTTTTTAGTCCATCAAAAGGTGACATCTAAAATTGTAGCTAAATCATTGTCGTTTTTTGCAGAACACTTTCCATCTGGTAATTTTGATTTTCAACGCATTCCCGATTAAATTTGGCACCACTGACTTTAGTCAAGCCTTTAATAAGCTGTATAGGAATGTTTTTCAGCAAAAAAGTTTTTGCTACAGTTGGGGTATTCTTAAATAAATGTTACAAATACTTCTTAAAATGTATGAGTCTTGATTTTTATTTTTTATTCTTAATTAATATCTTTTTTAATCAAATAATTATATAATAAAAAAGTATTAATTAAAAATAAGATATAAAAATCCAAACTCATACACTTTTAAAAATAAGTTAAATAATTTTATCTATTCTTCTTTCTTCTTCTTTATCTCTCTCTATAACAATTTGATAGCTTAAAACATTCTACCGGTAAAAGATTTTTTTAACACGCTTCTGTAGACTTCTCATAGCTATATAATTATTCTTTTATTTTATAAATAATATGAATCTATTATTAGTTAAAAATATATGTAAAATCATTAATAGTTTCACGTAACATTTCTCTTTCCTCATCGCATTATTTCAATTTCTTTCTTTCTTGCTTTCTTCTCTGACCAAAACCATCCATCACATTATTTCGAATAGGCATGATCAGAATTGTTCCAATTTATAAGGCTAGCTTCTAGTGGAACGATAATTACTTATAACTTATTTTTTTCTTTTTATTCCTTTGGAGAAAAAAATGTTTAATAAGCATTGTTATTGGTAAATTTAGGGCTCTCCTAGTAGATAAAGTGACCGGATTCAATTATTAATTGTACTTATTGAAGTATGATATGGTGGTTTGAAATGAATTATATATAAACCATTAAAGTTTAAGAATAGTAAATCAAACCTTTGAATTGATTGACAATAAATAGTTGATATATATATATATATATATTACTTCATTAAACCCCACCTACAAAATGAGATGACTATAATAAAAATAATTTGTTTATATAAAATTCCGACAGTTACCTTCTGAAACGGAATAATATTTATTCTCAGAATCTATCATTTAAAAAAAAAAAAGATCATATCGAAATGATTATATGTTCGTAGAATTTTATGTAAGCTTTTCAGAAATATGTCTGAGTGTGTTGAATAAACTTTTTTCTTTGCACGCTTGATGCCATCTGTTTTTCCTCTTCCTTATTATTATTTTCTTTTTTTGTGGCTTTTCTTTTCCTGCTACAGGCGTTGCGAAATTTGAATTTTGTTTTCTGCAGCAAAAAGAAAAATATTCCTTGGGCTCTGAATTTCGACTCTAACTGATAACTGTTCAGGTGTGTGTATACGGACGGGTGCCCTTTTTTCCCCCCTTTTATTTTACCTCTTTTGCCATGTCAACTAAGAAATAATGCTTCAAAAAAAAAAAAAAGGGAAAAAAAAGAAAAAAGAACATCTCTACGGATATTTGGTTAATAGATTTAGAATTATAATTCATAATTTTAATTTTTAAAATTTTAATTTTTTATGAGAGAAAAACACTGCAGAAAATCAAAAATTATGATTCAAAACGAGTGACGAACCATTGAAACAAACATCCTATCAGTAATTTTTTTTATTAAAATTCGTTTTGCAAGTTTCTTAAAATTATGTTATTTTCACAAGTTAAGAACTTGAATTGTAATGTAAATTTTATGTGAGAGAAAAAAATAAAAAATTTAAATTTAAATTTTTATGAAAAAAATAATATAAAAAAAATAAATTATAATTTAAGTCGTAAACAGAGAATATACCCGCGTCTAAGCGGATAATTGATTATAGTTAGTGTTTATAATTAAATGATATAATGATTGAACGTAAACCCCCTAGGCATTAAAATAAAAATGATTGCACCCGGGTGGGCTTTGCTTTTAATAGATAATGACAATTAACGGTAAACTGTCTCCAAATTAAGAAAAAGCTACACGTGATATTATATAATGTATCTATATATATTTTACTGATTCATTGGCTTGGGTATTCGTTAAGCAAAATGCCCATCCTATAAAACGACGAAAAGCACCGGTGTGGTTGAAGTGTATGCTGCTTCTTTCCCCTATGTACATGCCGTTTGACTGTTTCTTTACAAACAAGGCTTTCATAAGACAACTACAGACACATGACCAAAACAACTGCAATACCAAACTGGGGAGGAAACAAACAAGAGGGATTTCTGTACCTCACTTTTAATTTGACACACAAAAAATAACTACTCCAAATACCAAACTGGAGAGGAAAACAAACAAGAGGGGATCTTTGCTTGGTGAAATTATTGATATATATATATATATATTTGTGTGTTATATATGTTTGTGTTTTTAAATGTTAGATGATTAAAATTATGAAACTAGATATGCAAGATAATTATTTTCTTTTATACTTTTTACAACAGAATTGACTATTTGCTAAAACATATGTAAGTGTGAGGTGCACTTGTGGTTCTTTGTCAGTGACTTAGGCCTCGTTCATTTTATCGATTCGAGTTTTCAGTTTTAGGTTTCTACAGTAAAAAGCTCTCAAAAAATGTCACATTTAACTTTTTCTGTAACAGTAAAAAGCTCTCATAAAATGTCATATCTCAACTCGAATTGAAAACTCGAATCCGCGAAGTGAACGAGGCCTTAGTGAGTCTATTTATAAGACTCAAATCACATGTCTAGTTTTTAGTATCACTATTAGTGTCCAACCAATCACATTATATAACATGTTATTTAATAGATTTAAACATCAAAATAAAGAAAAATTAGTTGAAAGATATTTCATATTATTAAATAGCATGACACAATTTAATTGATTAGACAGTATTTTATTGAATAAATTATTTGAATCTGTAATCCTGTAGTCTGTCATCAGTTTCACGCAAGCACCAATGCCCAACTAAAACCTCTTAAATAATTAATTAATCCAAACTTTGGCTTGAAAAAAGCTTAATTTATTTAGGAGCTGTGAAACTTTCCATCTTCAGAGTTCACATGCTCTGCCAATTCTATTCTTACACAAGGTTGCATGAAAATGTTGTTCTTTCTTTCTCCTAAAAAAAAAGTCATTCTTTTGTTTCTCAAAAATAAAAAAGAAAACGTCAATCTTTCCCAACAATCATACACCATGACATGAATATATTTTGAATATTGGGTGCGTGACACAATTAAATGGGATTGGGATTACAAGAAAAGGACTACCTAATTAAGTAATGATAAAATCTAAATGGCGTACGTAGTTAGTGAGCCACATTATTTGAGGACCTTATGAGTGATGGCGACGGTTCACTCCTCTCTTCTCATTTTTTATCCCTCTATTTGAACTATTTCAGTTTGTTTCAAGAATTCCGAGCATACCTAACTTTAGTAAGTTCTTCTTATTAATAATTAGACCCCTTATTTATATTACTGAGAGTAATAAATTTAAAATAAAATAAAAAAACACATACACACACAAAATTTATAGAGATTTGTCTCAACGTGAGATTACGTTATCTTTTAACGCTGCAGTAATCACTATGACGAAAAAGAAGTTTAAAAGAGAAAATCGCACATTTCACAACTTTATATTTTATCTAACTTTTTTAATTTTTTTCCCCAACTACTTTATATAAGAAAATCGTGACAATAATCATAAAGTATAATTAGACTCCACAACTTAACACACTTAATAAATATTTTGTTTTAAATGTCTTATTAACTCTAATACTACACACCAATATTATTGGCGCTAGGTAACTACCAACAAGCAGTCATGTATATATCAATAATATGTGACGTATATGTTTTGTTTGTTTGAAAGTCAAAATCACATCAAATTAAAAAATATATATACAGAACAGACAGTTTTTGATAAAATTTTAATAGATGAAAATAGAGAATTATTAACAATTTATTTTTTATGATCCTATTGAAGAAGCTCCTAAAAAATAAAGCATAAATATGCAATAATTATTGTAGTAAGAAATATGGGTTTTGAGGTCCACGCAGTGGGGGCCAATTTATCATATGGGGATTGGGGTGTGTGAGTGATCAAAATTTGGTGATTTGGTTGTCGAATCTTTGTTTAAATAAGTCCACTTGCGGTGGGTCACTGGGGCGATCCTTGCAATTGGGGGCTGAACATTAACAAAGCAACATTATTACATTATTCGATTGTTCCACATATGACATATGGACTGTCGCTCAGGATTGTGGCACAATAAGGCTACTGATTTACAAATTATATCAGAAATGTATTGGACATATCTTATAGTACTGTCTTGTCTTCTGTTAGATTTTTGCTCGGATTAAAAAAAGGCTATTGTAATAAAAAAAATATATATAGTTTAAAATTCTTGAAAAATACTTGGAAATTTATTTAATGGTGATTTTATATTTTCATTCAAGGTTGGGGTTTAAAATTCATATACTCCCACCCCAAGTTCGAAAGAGAAAAATAAAACACTTTTGTACTTGGCCTTAAATTGAAGAAATATAAAATTAATTTGAGCATGTTCTATTTTACTGCTTCTGATTTTTTTTTTTTTGACTATTTTTCTATAAAGATGAGTATAGGTGTAATTGGTTTGAGTTGGTTGGTTTTTGGGAGAACTCAATCTTGTCTTGTTCATTTACATTTTTTGAGTTAGGATGACTTGAGTTCAGATATTAATTTTGAGTTAAGATGTATTTGAGTATGATTTGAGTTGGGACTCT